AGTCACTTTAACTCTGAGCCATTCTAGTGGATTTTTTATTTGTCATTGTATTTTAAGTTGCTGAACTGTATTTCAGTTGCTAGATTTATTTTTTTAATAAATTTTCTCTTTAGATAGTCTCTATTTGATAAGACATTGTCACCATATCATCCTCTACTTCATTATGCATGGTTTTCTTTAATTCTATGAGCATATTTTTATTGGCTGCTTTAATTTATTTAATTTTAATTTTGTTTTATTATTTTATTTTTGAGTCGAGGTCTCACTGGGTCCAGGCAGTCCTTCCACCCTTAGCCTCTTGAGTAGCTGGGACCATAGGCATATACCACCACACCACTTAATTTTTTTATTTTTTATTTTTTGTAGAGACATGGTCTCACTATGTTGGCTAGGTTGGTTTTGAACTCTGGGGCTCAAGCAGTCCTCCCACCTTAGCCTCCTAAGTGCTGGGATTACAGGTGTCAGCTACTGCACCTGACCTATTTTAACTGCTTTAAAGTCTCTGTCTGCTGAATATGGCAACTAAATTCTCTCTAAGACAGTTTTTTTCATTTTCTTGAACTGATTTTTGTCCTTATGGGTCATTCTTTTTAAATTTCTTTGTATATCTTATAATTTTTTTGAAAATCAGACATTTTAGATAATAAATTGTAACAACTTGGATGCTAATCTGTCTCCTTCCCAGGCTTGTGGTAATTGTTTGCTTATTTGTTTAGTGGGCTGTTTTAGTCATGTGTATTTCTTTAGCATTTGTGGCTGCTATTGTCATTCAGCAACTTTTAGCATGTAAGCAATATTCCTGAGTTGTCATTGGTTTTGGCAGGGCTCTCTTTGTCTATTTTCTGATCTTTGTGTTAAACTATGTACTTCAGTTGGTATTATAAAGACTTGCTGGCCTCCACTGATTGCAAATTGATTGCTTTATTTTTTCAGCTGTGCTCTTCTGAGATGTTAGTTGTTCTACCATCTGATCCTATAAATTTGAGGCCCTGTACATAGGTAATCTTTGATACCAGTCTTTGAGATTTGTTCCCACCACAAGAAGGCTCTTCTCACTGTCTCATTCTTTGGTTTTCTGATAATCTTCTGTTGGGTCTGTCTCCATTATTTTCAAGATGCCCTGAGGCTTAAACTCTACTTTCTGTTCTAAATAAAGTCACTTCATTTGGGGAGATCTTCAGTACTCTGTTCTTCCTTTTTGCCTTTTCCCTTGTGCAAAACTTCTGAGCCAGTGCTCTAGAGCTGAGGGTAGAGTAGTGGCCTGTTTCTCTTGAAGTGATACTCTTGATGTTGGACTTGAGTGGCAGCCTCTGGTCTTGTTGGCTTGCCTCTCCTAGAGTAGAACCTCTTCTCTTTGAGCTGTAGCGAGGGCAGAGCTTTAGTATTCTCAGACTACTGTGCCTGACGTGGAGCTTCCCCCATGAGTGGAGTCTGAGTGGTGAAAGACAGCCCCAGAGATGTCAGCTGCTTTTTCCTGGAATTAGAGCCTGTGCAACATCATGGAACCAGGGCAGATGAGACATGCTGACAAGCCTGCCTCTCTTGGTGAGATACCACATTTCTTGACTGGGAACTTGAGAAGGGAGGGCATCATATGTTGGTTGCACCCACATGAAGTAGATTTTTCACACTGAGCTTCAAGGAGTGGGGAGGCAGTTGGAGGGAGGAAACAGAGAAAGGAGTGGGTGTTGGCTCAAATGCCACAGATTCTCACTGTTCTGAGATGTTGTAGCTTTTATTAAATATTTTTTCATTCACTGAATACCCTTAGGACGTTTTCCAGAGACTTTAAAATGGTGGGGTTTTTTTCCCCACACTGGGAGAGGATCTGCAGAACACCTTATGCCCTTTTCCCAGTAATGTCAGTCTAATTTTTTTAACCTAAAATTGCTCCTAAATTACACACCACACCGAAACAAGGCAGTTTTAGAGATTCCTAAATGTAGTTACAAGATATTTTATGTGACAAGTTTTAATAAATAAAAATGTAGATATTCTTACATTACTAATAATCCTTAGTGTTTATCCCTTGCCTAATTTTGAATAAAAGAATTTTCAGGCCATTTGTAGTGGCTCATGCTTGTAATCCCAGCATTTTGGGAGGCTAAGGCGGGAGAATTGCTTGAGCCCGGTAATTCGAGACCAGCCTGTGAAATATGATGAGACCTCATCTTTACAAAAAAATAAAAAATAGCTGGATGCAGTGGCACGTGTCTGTAGTACCAGCTACTCAGGAGGCTAAGGCAGCAGGATCACTTGAACCCAGGGTTTTGAGGCTGTAGTGAGCCATGATCATGCCACTGCACTCCAGCTTGGGCAGCAGAGTGAAACTCTTGACTCAAAAAAAAATTTTTTTTTTCACTTGCACCAAGTACGTTTGATTTTTTTGATCATTTTGTTGATCTTGGTCTGTTCCTTGAAATATTTTTAGGAATTTCTTAATGTCTGTATAATCGTCATCCAGTACCTTCAATAAAAATAGTGCTTTATACTGAAAACTGCCGGTTCTTTGATTTGGATTAGATATATAAAGTACTGTCCTTTGCCAAAAACCTCAAATTATCTGTTCTTTTCAACAGTATGCTTGTTTGGAGATTAGTTCAAAAACTGTACTGCCTCTGATGTTAAAATTGTATGTATAGCACAAGGAAGCTAACTCTGAGTTTCCTAAGAAAAAAGACCCATTTTGTAGCATGCAGAAGAATAAAAGGTAAATGCAGAGATTAGGCATTACCACTAACACTAACAGAACCACCATGTATGACTGTGTTCTGTCCAAGGGCATCTGACTGAAGATGAGTTAGGGGCCCACATTGCAGCCCATGGTTTGTTCTTCATGGTGTAAGACTCTGCTAATATGAGTCTTGGGCATCTTGTTATATTTTACACAAAGGTACCTTGTGAGCTTGCGGATGTTCTTGCAATTCCACAGTTCTCAGGAATTGCTGAGAGCTGTGTTTTAAGGGAATTCTTCTGGTCACAGGATTAAAATAAATCTCTATAAGGTATTTCAGTAGAATTTAGTGTAAGTTTATCTTAGAGAGATAATATAAGCAAACAGTGTACCAAATTAGTTGAGTAGGTGTTGGAGAGCATGGGGCAACCCAGAGCTGGTAAGTCCTTGCTCTGTAGCTGGAGAAATGAAGGGAAGGTTGCTTACCAGGACGGAGAGGCTGAGTGGAACTGGACTTCACAACCCTAGGGAATGGGGATGGGAGTACTTGCTGGTGCTGCTTATTCCTCAGGACTCACAGCAAAGTACCTGCTGGAGCTGGGACTTAGACCTCTCAGGGAGCAGGGGCTGACTATCCTGATGCTTAACAGAAAAGTCCAGAAACTGCTGATACCAAGGTAATGGGTAGTTTCTAGGAACAGAAGTAAACAGGAAGGAAAAAGTCTGTTCTCTCGCCAACTTGTCTTCCATCCCCTCCCACCATCACTCCTGTGTTTCCTATTGGTGATTCCTGAAGCCAGGAGGCAAAGGAGGGTTGTAGTTTGAAGAGTTTCCACCTCAGCATCACACTGCAGGGTATATAGAAGGCTAGATTTGGAGCTTAAAAACTATCATATTCTAGAGCAGAACAGAATCTTTTGAAATAGGTCCAAGTGTATGCAAGAATTCTGTTTATGATAAAAGTAGCATCTCAAACCTGGAGAAAAGAGTAAATTGGTCAATAAATCAATAAATAGCTCTTAGTTGATTTTTTTGTGGGGGGAGAGAGAGGAAAGGAAAAGGACTGTACACACAAAAAAGTAAACTTAAGATGGATTAGTGTCAAGAGTTAAACTGAAGATAACTGGAAACAGATATTGATGAAGACGTGTATCTGATTTCACAGTGGGAAAGATTTTAAAGCATGAAAGCAAAGAGAGAACGCAGCAACAGATACACATTTAATATTCAACATTTATGTGTGTTAAAAAAGATTAATATCCTTAATATACAAAGAGCTGTTTTAATCAATAAAAAGATGATAGTCTTGGTTAAAAAAAAAAAAAAGGCAGACAAAGAATATGCTCATATAAAATATATAAATAGCTAGTAAAGCTGAAATCAGCTTTAAAGAGTATTTTGGGGAAGCTAGTACACATGATAATGAAAGTGTAAATTGGTATAGTTTTTCTAGATAGTTTTATCAATATGTGTCAAAAACCTTAAAGATGCTTACTTTGAAAATAATTCTAAGACAGTAGGTAGATAAGAAAGCAAATATGGTTATAGATAGAGGTGAGTTAGGTTGATAATAGCTTCTGTCTAACAGCTTTGCAATCAGCAAAAAGCAGATGATGCTGGAGCAAGGTTTGGAACATTACTGTGGTTCCTACAGGAAATCAACCAGCTTTAAATATAAGCAGTCAGCAGCAGTATCTTGCATAAATACATAAACAGACCTTTTGGTTTCATGACTTTCTACATAATGTCAAATAGATCAGAAGTTGGAGTACAGAAAATTATTCAAGTGAATGCAAAGAAAACTTGGTGGAAGAATTAATCCAGGAAGGTATTGACTCATTCTACTCATTCTGGACCATAACCATACTGATGGCCACAGGAACAGAGAGACTGAGGTACAATAGAACCAGTGTGTCTCACTACAACCCACCAGGCTCTCTTTTTTCCTGGGCTGCCTGCAACAGGAATTACCAAGAGAAGTATTCATTTCCAGAAAGACAGAATTAATTCCATGTCCTAGCTCTGATGAATTGTGGCTTCTGCAGTTAGGGGTATACAGTCTCATTTGATCAGGCTTGCTTTGTTCTATATCAACATAATAACCCACAACCCTAGTAACCACATTTTTAACGTTTCTACAAAGTCAAATCTATGTTAAATATAAGTCAGAATTTGTTTAACCAACTACTTGATTGAAGGGAAAATTATTTTTCTTTATTTTCTATTCCAGATGATTTTAAATTCCTGTTCATTGCTTCGATCTCAAGAATTTTCCATTCTAGACCAATAGGAGAGATAATAAATATGTTTATATTTATCTTTATAGGGGCACCTCCATTCTTACCAGAATCTTTTGACCGAATTCTTCTTGATGCACCCTGTAGTGGAATGGGACAGAGACCAAACATGGCTTGTACTTGGACTTTGAAAGAAGTAACATCATATCAACCATTACAGCGAAAACTCTTTACTGTGGTATGTGATGGCCCTTTGTGGTGATAGAAAGTTGACCTTCTCTAGTTTGATGATTGGTCCACTGAGAGCAATGTTCATAGCAGCTTTCTTCACAGTAGCCAAAAGGTGGAAACAACCCATGGGTCTGGTGACAAATAAATGGATTTTTTAAAATGACATATCCATACACAGGACATTATTCAGCCTTAAAAATAAATGGAATTCTTATACATGCTACTATATATGAACCTTGAAAACATTATGTTAAGCAATATGAACCAGACACAAAAGGAAAAATAAGATTCTAGAAAGGCAAATTTATAGAGACAGAAAGTAGAATAGGGTCAGGCACAAAGTGCACACATGTAATCCCTGCACTTTGGGAGACCAAGGTGGGAAAATTGCTTGAAGCCAGGCATTTGAGACTAAGCTGGGCAACATAGCAAGACACTGTCTCTACTGAAAATTAAATAAAATACAGTAGAATAGAGATTACCAGAGACTAGGGAGATAGGAAAATGAGGAGTTATTGCTTAATGGGTGCAGAGTGTCACTTTGTGATGCTGAAAGAGTTCTGGAGATGGATAGTGGTGATCCCTGCACAGCAATATGAATGTACTGAATGTCATTGTAGACTTAGGGAGGCTAAAATTATAAATTTTATGTTGTGTGTATTTTTCTACATATACACACACATACACATGACTGAGAAGACCTGGTTATAAATATAAGGAGCTTTCTTTTATGTTGTTTAAACTTTAAGATATATAGGAAATAGTAAAATGGCTTCACTGAGACATTTAATAAATTTCAAACATTCTCTAAAAAAGAATCACTGAGTTGTTAACATATAGTTAATAATTGATGTAAATAATTGGATATAAAATAAATTACTCTTTTTAAAAATAGGGTCTCTATGGCAAATAAGATAGCAAATAAGAAGTAGGAAGTCCATTGGAGGAGACAAACCCATTGATAAAAATAGGAAGTGATACTATAAAAACTGCAAATTTAACTTGTCTTCAGTACATTTCAGAAGAATAGAATAGAATGAGGATTCGCTTAATCTTGCAAAAGTGACTCCGTGGACTTCACAGAGTATAGACTGTACTTGATAAAAAATGAATTCATTATTTCCTCTCAACCCTCCAATTATAAATACGTAGGCTACAGCAACAATGGATATGCTATAATTATTCAGTCTCTAAAGTTGTCTTTGAATTCATTTCTGTTCAACTCTCCTGGTGTCACCTTTCATACACAAAGGTAGCACTGGTTGTGAATTATTTAACTTTTTTTTCTATATAATAGTTTTCAAAGAACACGTCCTTGGAGTTAAAACAACTAGCAGCAAAAGGAAGCTTTACTTCCAGCTGAAACCCACTTTGACTTGAGAGTAAAATTAGGATCCTGTAAAGGACTTGGTTTTTGTTCGTTTTAGATCATGAGTAAATGCATGATCTCAATATGAAAGAAAAGCTACAGTGCACAAGAGAGAATTTGAGAGTAGCAGGTGTGCCATTTGGCATGGATAGAAATTGAGAATATGACACACCTTGTTTTGAGCCATGGCTCCTCCACAGAAGTGACTCTAGGCAACTTTGTTTCCATATCTGAGAAATAGGAATAACAACTCTACCAATAACAACTCTACCTAATAGGGAGTAACCTTACATCATGTTTGTTATAAGGATTTACTGAGAAGAATCCACATAAGGTGTTTAACACAGGAATAGGCACTTAATAAGCAATTTTCAATTTTGGTTAGTATACTCCTGTTAAAGAAATGCAACTATACATTATTAATTTTTTTATTACATTTTTTTAAACATGTAAAAAAGAGTTTGAAAAGATAAGGTATAATTGGGACAAATTCATTTTAGCATAGCGCCTTACTTCCTGATTCATTTATTTATTCAACAAATATTCATTGAGTACTTACTATATGCAAGATACTATTGTAGCTGTTGACAGTATAGTAGTGGAATCACAGACAAACAATCCTTTCCCTTCCTTATTCATGAGGCTTCTTTTCTAACTAGGGAGGGAAATAAGTTATATAGTATATTACAAGGTGATAATGCTGTCACCCCATGGAGCAAACTAAAGAAGAGAAGAGAGAGGATAGGCTACTGGATTGGAATAGCTGCAATTTTACATAGGGTGGTTGGGAAGAGCATCGCTGAAAAGCAACATATAAGCAAAGATAAGGAGATTGTGAAGGAGCAAGCAATGAAGAGAATTAAGTTTTCCAAGGTGGTGCAAACATCCCAAGGTGGTAGTGTGCCTTGCATGTTCCAGGAACAGCAGGAAGCCAGTGTGCTAAAGCAGAATAAGCAAGGGTAAAAGTTATACAAGAGGAGGTCAGAATGGCAACAATACACTTGTTTGTGTAGGATTTTGTTTCTGAGGATTTTGGCTTTGACTTCATAATGAAGGACATTCGGAAGGGCTTGAGGCTGAGTAGGGACAGATAGACAGATTACTGCAGCTGCTGTATTGAGACTAGATTGCAGAAGGTCAGGGAGGAAAGCAGAATGACACAGTAAGATACTGTTGCAATAATCCACTCAAAAGTTAAAGAGGCTTGGGCATTGGAAGTGGTGAGAAGTGGCCACATTCTGGCTATATTTTGAAGGTAGAGCCAGTGTGATTTGCTAATGGATGGGGAATGTGAGAGGAGAAGAGGCACAAAGGATCATCCAAGGTTTAGAACCTGAGCATCTGGCAGGATGGGAAGATTTCTGTAGTATGTTTCAGAGGGAATATAGGAGTTCTTTTCAGGACATGTCAAATTTGATAGCAGAAATGTTGAGAAGGCAACTGAATATTTGAGTATGAAATTCAGAAAGGAGGCCTGGTCTAAAAATGTAAGATTGAGTGTTTTCAGTATAAAAATGGTATGTAAAGGCATGAAACTGATTGTATTTGGGAAAGTCTTAGTCCATATGGAGTATGACAGCTTCACGATAGTGAACTGCAAGAATTACACTTACATACTCCAATTTGAGAAGGAATCCTTTTCATGATAACATTATTTATCGTAGACTCTTGAAAGGTATTATACATAATGCTATGAAATTTCTTTAGATGTTTATTTGATCTTATGGTTTGTGTGGTCTGGTCATAATTTTCTTTAGGCAGTTCAACTGCTGAAGCCAGGTGGTGTGCTGGTTTATAGCACATGCACCATAACGCTGGCAGAAAATGAAGAACAAGTTGCCTGGGCCCTCACAACATTTCCTTGCCTTCAGCTTCAGTCTCAGGTAAGAGTAGTTTCTTTTTTCTCTGTGTAATAAGATACATTGCAGAAATGGAAGCTCAGTGATGAACACAGGATGTTACTTGGAATAAGTAAAACTTACAAAATGAATACAGTAAATCCCCTACATACAAACTTTTCAAGTTACAAATGTTAATGATACATGCATTTTTAATGTATTATTTTTCTCCACCGAGTGTCAGTATAGTCTGTTAAATACATATATGGCCAATTGTGTTAGTTGAGTACCTGGGCTAACTTTGTTGAACTTAGAACAAATGGACTTATGAATGTACCCTCAGAACTGAACTTGTTCGTATGTTGGGGATTTCCTGTAATGTAATAAACAAGAATGAAGTTAGATTCGTTTTTGACTCCCAGTAGAGAATTTGCATGTCCTGACAATGTTTGTCCTTGACATTGTGTTAAAATGGCACAGAACTTGGGTGTATTTCTGTTATGTGTTTATTCCACTTGTGGTGGTTGTTCATGTTACTTAGCACTTTTTTCTAAAAAGATTTTTTTTTCTCCTTCCAAGTCCTATATTCTGATATGGAAAATGTCGAGCATTTTCTGTAATGTCACATCAAAGCCCAAACAAACTCTAATAACAGGATTATCAAAAGAGCAGCCAAAAGGGAAAAAATTGTGGTTCAGGATTATAGCTTATTTACAACTTATTATATAAAATGTATAACATTTAAAAAGACTTCTTATACTTTCTTTTACCTAGCACTAGTCTTTCTGTTATAGTCTTTATTAAGACTATTTATGATTCTATTTTTAGCCCAGGATGTTTGGGATTAAGTTTAAATCTTTAATAATGCTCATATTCATCAGATACATTGAACATTTAACTCTAATACTTTCCTTATAAAAAGTAGGTATTTGGAATACATAAATAAAAACAACTCAGAAATGGTTTCTGGACTCAGAAATTATAAGGCAATTACATCATAGCCAAAAAGGAACATTTCAGAATTCACTTGGAAATTTACACACTTAGGCACAGATTTAACATAGACATAAAGTAGAGGGAAAGTTTTTCCTTTACCCTTATGGGATATTAAACTCTTTTCTCAAGTATATGTCTGAACACCTATCTTTGAGATATAATCATCTTTCTGTGAGTGGTGACTTAAAATTAGGATTATAGATCTTTTTCAGTAGTGGTTTGCAAGTATCCTTAGTTCCTATGATTCGCTGTTCCTCTAAACTAATTTATACAGCCTTAACTTATGTATGCCTTTCTAATGTTTGTTCTTCTAGTACATGTAAAAACAAGAAAAAGAGAACTTTTATCATCCAATTGGCATGAATCAGAGAGATGCTTAAGGAACTCCTTTCAGAGTTTTGAAGAATGATAGATAAAGCTGAATTTTATCTACTACTTTATTGATGCCAACTACCCACTATATGGCAGGCATGATACCACCTTCATTTAATTCTTAGAACTGAGTAGTTTACCTGTTTTATAGATGAGGAGATAGGGCTAGGTAAAGTTACTTAAGGTCACACTGCTAGAATATGACAGAATTGCAGTTGAATCCATACATTTCTAACTGTGAAGCTCAGGTCTTTGGTAACATCACAGTGCTTAATAAGAACATAGGACATTATAGAGACTCGTTTATCAGGCAACCATATAATACTGCTTTCCCACATTGCTGCCCAGAAAACAGTAGTCCACAAAAATAAAAGGCATTTACTCATTTTTCTATTCTTGGGAGATATAGTTGTTACAATTTATCTTTTAACTTAAATCGTGCCTGGCATACCTACTAATTATAGGTTGTTCATCCATGCTTATTCACTTTCTCCAAAAAGGAACCACACATCGGAGGAGAAGGAATGATGGGAACAGGCCTATCATGTGAACAATTGAAACAGCTGCAGCGATTTGATCCATCTGCTGTGCCATTACAGGAAACTGACATTGACTCTCTCAGAGAAGCCAGAACAGAAGACATGATGCTGCTAGCGAATAAGGATTGCATAGGTTTTTTTATTGCAAAATTTGTAAAATGCAAAAGCACATAGAAGGATCTGCAGAAATGAAAATTCCAAACATTTGCTGTCTGCGTTTTTTTTTTTAAACAAAAGTGTTGTCAGACCAACTGAGGGATGGCGTGGTTGCTAAGGAAACAGAAAAGGCTGCCAGCTGTTTCACTAGGGAGCAAGAGACACAGAGGAAGTAGAGGGTGATGAGATTCTATTCTGTGTTTTTAAAAAAATTTTCTTTATGGATTTATTAGCGTAAGGAAAAGGAAAGGCTGGAGCATATTTTCATTTGGGGGTCTCGTGTTTTAATTTGTAAAGAATGAAAGTCATTTTAAATGTTAAAAATTAGTTAATCTAGCAAAAGGAATAAGTTAGCAAAATTTAATATGGTTATAAAAAATAATTGTTTTTTGTTCCAAAGTTCCTCAGTAGCAGTTCTTTAAGAAAGGACGTGGGAAGTAAAACCTTGACTTTGTGCTAGTGACTGAGATAAGTATTCTACCTGACTCTGCTTACTGTTTGGTAAATCAGCCCTCTTTCAAATGAAGTGTGGACCTCTTTTAAATGATAGTCTGCCTCTACTGTGTTTAATTTATTGTCATAGTTTTAAACTAAGAAGTAAAATATTTTCTTGTAGATGAAAAACATGAGAATATTTATTCCACAATTCGGGTACCTTTTACCATCTATTGTTGAGAAAAACCAGCTTCTGACAGCTGGCAACTAGCCTGGCACTTACAGCTGGGCCTTGGTGGTCTTCTGTTGAACATAATTGCACCTAACACCAATGCCAGACAAGGTAACTGTATCTGTGATAGATCCAGACCAAAAAAGACTACGTCACAGTCAAATGTGACCTCAGAGGAAAAACAGAACATCATCTGAACTGCAGAGTTAACCAGACACCTCCCTTTATACCTCTAGTATAAGTAACTGCTTTTTATTTATTTATTTATTTATTTTTTGAGTTGGAGTCTCACTCAGTCGCCCAGACTGGAGTGCAGTGGCCGCTCCTGGCCACCACAGCCTCAACCTGCTGGGCTCCGGCGATCCTTCCACCTCAACCTTCCAAGTAGCTGGAACTACAGGTGCGCGTTACCACACCCGGCTGATATTTTTGATTTATTGTAGAGATGAGGTCTCGCCAAGTTGCCCAGGAGGGTCTCAAACCCGCGGGCTCAGGCAATTCACTCATCTCAGCCTCCCAAGGCACGGGATTACAGGCTGAGCCACCGAGCCCGGCTAGTAACTGCTTTTTAAAAAAATTAATTTAGCCTTAGTAGTATATCATGCTACTGGCTTTTTAGATCTGTTAAAATACCCAATACCTAGCCGTAGTTTAAAGACTTTCTCATGTGGTATTAAACATATCACAAGTTACTGGGTTTGGGCATAGAAGTGATCAATTGGAAACAGTTGCCCAATAACTTTTTTCCTCATGGGTTTTCTTTAGGAATTCCTCATAACTTTTTTGCATCCATGATGATTTGCAAAGTCTGTTGCGTCAGGTAAGACCTTTGGATGGCCTCTCCTTTGAAGAAACCATTCTTGAACACCTTCCCTGAGGTTGGTTAGGCACTGCTCTTTCTCTGTGTTCCTAAGTCCCCATATCTGTTGTTCTCATGACACTTAGTGCTCTCATTCAAGTTTACCAGCCATCTACCTAAGCCTTACCCCACACTTGGGAAACATCCTGGAGGCAGAGGTCTTGCCTTTCAGTCTTTGCTTCAGAGTAGATAGTCCAAAAGTGCTTATTAGAATAGAGAAATCATTTCAAGCAAATAGGTGAGTGTCTCTTTACATCCCTATTTTGCCTTATATCCAGTAGATGACATTTGACTAAAGAGAAACATGGTTTACCTGTGGCATTTCTCTTTCCAAGGCTCAGAATACCTCCTTAAACTTGAAATGTATTGTAAGAAACTTCACAAAATCCATTTTCTCATGTTTGCTGCAAAGCCTTATGTGCTAAGCTGGAATGAAAATGGTAGAAAATCAGTCTTGCAGCACACTTGTACTGGCGTAATGACTGATTACTACCAACAGATATCTAAATACAAGCATGGCCAGCAATGTGGAAAAAAATTTTGGCATATTGGAAACAGGACCAAAAAAATTTAAAAATTTTCCTTGAACATAGACAATTTTTAGTGGGTTTCTTAAGCAAATTGAAAAAACACATACTTAAAGGACAAAGAAATGTAAAAAAAAAAAAAAAAATCAGGGAAATATGAAGGCAAATTAATACATCTTTTAACATATTCAGTGTTAGCATAGATATTTCTATGAAACAAAACCATTTAAACTTAAGTGAGTATTTACTTCAACACCCTGCATCACATTTTAGTTTAAATAGCAAAGCGAAGTACAAATAGTTAAAAAACATGACTTAGCAGAAATTAAACAATTGACTCAGAACTCACTACAGACTCAGATTACTCTGCTGGAGCTCACAAATTAAAAAAATCTTTTGCCTACTTTGAGCTACCTTGTTAACCAAAAAACAGGCATTGGAGGATTACTAAAGGAACATCAAGTGTTTAGTGTTGCCGCTAAGGTAGATGCCCCATAAGTGGAAGTGGTGTTGAATATTTAATATATTCTCAACCACAGGAATCATTCCTAAAATGGCAATTAATACTACTACTAATAAACAGTGCAGAAGCCAGCTCTTTATTTGTTTTATATGAATTACTTTAAACCAGGTTTGTTAGACAGTTCAGTGTAGCTGACAGTGAGTGTTTAACAGGAATGCATAGCAAACCCATGTTAAAAATGTGGCATCGTCTTAAAGTACAATATGACTAAGACATCCTACATTTAGCAGCACCTTTTTGTAACAGTAACTTAAATGAGCAGTAGAGAAAGAGCATAGAAAGACTGAAAATGGGCATGACCAAAAAAAAAAACAACTATTAAGTACATTTCCAGCATTTCCTAGGTTGACTACAAAAATCATGATTCTACAACTGAGTAGGTTAAGATTAAGCCTTTGCTGTGTGAAAAGACTGTAATTTTACATTCCACAAGTCAGTAAATCTCGTGTCCTTAGGATTTTTTCTTCATTTACAAATGTAATACCCACTGTTTATATTATACATATGCCCTCTATACAGTTTTCACATATAGATGCTCATGTCAAATCCCTCAAGATAGTTTTTGAGGAATATGTTGATTTGTACTAGCATGTTTCACAGTAAAGTGCATCCTAAGAATCCAGGTACATAATAAAAAAGATGGAATCTCTTAGCACAACTCTTTAAAAGGGATTAATGATAACAGCAAGCGAGATAAATACCATACTACAAGAATTTAAATGTTCCAAAATCATTCATTGGGATGAAATAATGTATAAGAAAATATCTGACTGGTAATTAGCAACATCTTACTATGAGGGAACTTTACCATAAACATTTTATAAAAGCAATTTTTATTGGATTATGGTTTTCCAATGATGTGAGAATTGTGTCCAAAATGTATTATGATTACTGTTTTAAATTCAATAAATTCATGTAAACAGTCTAGAGCTAGTTAACAGATTGATTCTGAGGGAAGTTTTCCCTATATTAGCTGACAAAACACTATACATCCTATTATGTTTAAAACTTAGTTTTCTTGAGGGGTAAGGTAAATAAGGAGTTAAGTGTAAAGGAGCTTTACTTATAAATAAAAAAAAATAAGTCCAAGAATATTTGGCAGGAACGTGGACTAGTCAAGGAAGCAAAGCAAAAACTAGATTATTACTGTTGTTTTGTTAAATAAGTTAATGTACAGATCTGAAGTTAGGCAATTACAGATAGGCATTTTCCTGGGACAAACTTCGAATGCTAAGTACTTGCACACCTAATACTGTCTTACCTATCCAGTCATAACTGGACAAAATAGACACTTGAGACATGGAAACGGTTTTAGTCACAGAATACTGTAAGTTTCTAACAGTTTAGTTGAGGCATGGAGATAATATCTCCAAGGTTCCTTTTCAGAGTAGATGTGTGATGTAGGAAAATATTCTTAACATTCTGCTCATTTCAAGTCACCCCATTTTGCCCTGATTACTTCTGAAGAGCAGGAACTTTGGTCATAAGAAGCACTTCAGGGCTCTGACAGACAGTGAGACTGTTCGAGTTGGCAGTGGGGAGGAATGGTAGGAAACTGGGAGATAAACAACAGGAACGATAGGCAAGGTTAGAAAATGAAGTGGGAGGAGTTATAAAAATTTATTTTCCCATGAAATAATTCCACAAGCTGTGTAAACGTTTCTTACTAAAACAAATACTCTAACGCACAAAGATTGTACATTTCCAGTGAAACACTCACAGTAAAAGTTGCCTGTATTTTTACTCTCTAAGAGCAAAAACAAGGAGCTAGCAGATGAATGCTTTCCTAGTACCTTTGGCAGCAAGCTTCCTCATGTTCCCTGACTGCTCAGTGGATAAAGCAACATGTAGCACAATTAAATACGAAGCCAGGTGGGCAGAATTCTCGACCTCAGCCTCTAGCTTCTTCATTAGTCTTCAGCATTCCAATTCATCTCAACCAATCACTCCTATATACAGTGCACACTCTTACATACAGACACACACGTGCATACAGCGGGTTCCGGCTCAAATACTCCAGTGCAGTGACTATAACAGACACTAGCTACTAAGAATGTGTTTGTCACAATCAGGGTGAACTGTATGGAGTAGAACAACCTCTGGAGTTTAGTTATAGTTCCCATAATTTATGGTGAAAATTATAAACTTACAAGGATGGTATAACATTCAGAAATCAAACCTTTTCGAGTCAGGCAATCACACATATTTACAGTATGTACAGACTTTCTACTAGAATGAAGATAAGTGTCTAGACAATGTTATTACAAATTTCCTGAATGTGGGCATTTCTAGTCCCTGTAATTCATAAAGCAACTCTGACTTGGCATAAGACTCTAAAATAGTGTGATCAAACTGATATATATATATATATATAGATATATATATTATATAATTATAAGAAGGTGTTTGCAGAAATAACATTTACAAACTGTCTATACAGTACACAGTACTAGTACATAGAAAATAGATTCTAACCTTATGATCCCCTTTGTGTAAGGCAAGACTGAATCTGTCCCCAAATTTAGTCAGCCAGAGGTACAAGCAAGAAACAGTGGTCCGTGAATGAATGATTATGCAAATCAGGTACCTGCATATCAAAAATCTGGAGAAATAAATTCCACTTTTATCTGTACTGATTCTGGCTTGCTGGATACATCCACATTTCTGAAAATATCAGCTACATCTCTGAAAACACTAATATCACCTGGATGGCAACAGATTTTGTTCAAGTGGCAGCTACCCAAAACAGTTTTTGAAGAGTCCAGTACATAACCGGAGGACTGCAGCCATACCAGGCCAATTTATATAGCACTTACAAAAGAAAAAAAAGTATATTAATACTCTATTTTATGCTATTGCTATTCAAGCAACAGCAATACAAAATGTTACAAGACAGATCACATATGATTGCAATGTAAACCCCAAAGATTTTGTTTGAGGGTGCTGTTATACAAGACTTAAAATAAAAAAAAAAACACACACACACACAAAAGGACAAAGTCATTGGCGGATGTAAACATCCCTGTTCCACTCCCCAGCCTCATTCCGTTTTTTGGATATTACTTCTCCATCCTTGTCACAGTAGCGATCCTTGGATTTATGACGGCTTCGTTGTTTGTTGCACTCATTGTGGTCCTGCTCTCGATCCATGTCCCTGGAACGGTGCCGAGACTCCCTGTGTCTGTGGTCACTGCTGCCATGGGTCTCATCTCTGTGGTTATGGTCACGGTGTGAGGCATAGTGGTCCACGTGTTCATGGGAATAGTCTTCCTTTGACTCCACGTAGGCAGAGTCTCGACTCTCCTGGGTTTCGGAGTCAAATGTCTCTTGCCTGGAGAGGCCTCGACTTGTACCACTGCGATGGTTGTGGTGTGGGGCTGAGGAGGAAGAACGATGCTGGGATTTCTTGACTGGTTCCAGGCTAGGTTCTTCTTCAACTTGGGAAGCAGAACGAATAGGAGCAGAGCGATCAGTCCTTTGATCACCTTGAGAACCCTGGCAGCGAAGGAAGCACACACAGGCATTAGCCAAGGTCAGTGGACAAAGAAGTGACATGACACAAAGCAAAGTATGGTCCTTCTTAAGTATCTAAATGCTAAAATAAAGTCTAGCCTACCTCAGTTACTTGATTCCTTTGGATGTCCAATGGCATTTATTAGGTTTGTACTGTGTGTTAATTTTTAAGTGCCTAGAACAGTGCACACAGTAACCTTTTAAGCAGAGTATTTATTTATTTATTTTTTTTTGAGTTGGAGTCTCACTCTGTCGCTCAGACTGGAGTGCAGTGGGCGCTCCCAGCCACCACCGCCTCGACCTCCTGGGCTCCAACAATCCTTCCGCCTTAGCGTTCCAAGTAGCTGGACCTACAGGTGCATGCTACCACGCCCGCCTAATTTTTTATTTATTGTAGAGATGAGGTCTCGCCAAGTTGCCCAGGCGGGTCTCGAACCCACGGGCAGAGGCAATCCACTCACTTCAGCCTCCCAAAGCGTGGGATTACAGGCTGAGTCACTGAGCCCGGCTGCAGAGTATTCTTTTATATGTTCTCCTGCAGTTGAAATACAGATGCAGATCCCTGAGATTTTTCTACATGTGGGTGTAAATTTAACTACCGCTGAGTACATGTGGGAATAGTAATAGAATGTTAGCTTTTAAGATAAGGACTAAGAAAAAATATGAAATAATTAAAACTAGCAAATGCAAATGACATCGTTTGAGGGCCTTCATATATGCTAACTCATTAATACAATAGCTCCATGAGGTAGATTGCCATTATTACTCCTGAGACAAGAGCAGTTAGGGGACTTGCCCCAGGTTGTACACCCCACACCCGTTAAGAGTTGGAGCCAGGACTCCAATCCAGGCAGTCTGCTTTCATAGTCTGTGCTGCTGTGTAGAAAGGCCTCCCATCCAACATGTTAGTGAGTTTTAAAGTCTGTATATGTTTGTAGTATCTTCTGGTTACAGTGCTTTTCTTACAGGCGCACAGCTCACACTGGACTTGGTTAAATGGCTCATTAACGTATGTGTCGGTTTGGATCATTAGTATAATGGAACAAGGCCTGTGAGAGCTGTCTGGGCTCAGATGCTGGCAGTGTCACCTTAAGCCTAGTTTCTCTATGAAGACCCTAAGAACTCTGCTTACCTGTGAATTAGAGGCTAGGGTGGGGCTAAGAGGCAGAGTTGAAGCAGCTAAAGTACGGCTAAGGAGAGGGTTGGGTAGACTGCTACTGGGAGGGTGAGTGGCCTTCCAGTAGGCTTCCAGATAGTCAGCAAGGTGCTCACAGGCATCCTCGAGCTGGTTCTCATCCAAGATCACGTCAAACAATTCCTGCAAAGGAAAACATTTCAGCACACATAAGCTTGCCCAGAACTGCAGAGTCCTCGCCTCCCCCACCTCATAAAAGGAGGAAGGGGCTCCTGAGCTGTTCTCCTTGGTATTTGCTTTTTCTCCTACTTTCTCCTTCTCTATTGACTGCCTTGTTTAGTCAGTGTGAGAGTGTCTGATCACCTCAAGTCATTAGTTTAAGACACTGAATGATTAACCAGTAATAATGACCAGAAAGTGAACAAATGTCATCATAGTTGTTAAAGGCATGACAACAAAGGGAAGTTGTCTATAAACAGTTCAAAAAGGTATTGCTACTGTGGTAGAAAAGAGATGTAAAAATGAAAAAAAAAATCTGAACAGAACAAAAAGTCTGTTCTTAACAGTAGTTCATTATAGAAGAAAAAACGCCTCATGCTTCCAAAGATTTTTAGAAGTGTTTGTCACAAATTTTAACATATGTCAAGCAATCAAAAATTGATATAGCTCTTACAGTCTTTGAAATAGTAGCCCTTAAAACAAAACCTAGAGCTGCAGTCCCAAGATACTGTATGTTTGTAAAGCATGGATGAGAAGAAAGAATCTGGGTAACCTATTGCTTAAACATTTTCACATGATCTCAAATCAGTTTTTCAGACGGTTAACAAAGCGATTTAGGAAGATTGCTTGAAACCAAGAGTTTGAGACCAGCCTGAACAACATAGTAAGATCCCATCTCTGCAATAAAAAATACAAAAAATTAGCCAGGCATGGTGGCATGCACATTAGTCTCAGCTGGTCACTCATGAGGCTGAAGAAGGATGATTGCTTGTGCCCAAGAGTTTGAGGCTGCAGTGAGCTGCGATTGTGTCATTGCACTCCAGCCTGGATGACAGAGTAAGACCCTGCCTCAATTTAAAGAAAATAAGTAAATGGCAGGTCAGATTTCTTCAAGTGCATTGTACTGTATATAGAGATGACTTACTGGAGGACACTGAGCCAGTTTATCAGCTGCTACCATCTGGACATTGAGGTGTTTAGCTTGAGATTTCCCTCGAGACTTTATTAACCTTTGTAAAACCTGTAAAAGAGAATGAGTTTTTAACAAAGCAATAACTACACTCAGGAAAACTACAAGGTACATTATTGACTCCTTTCTCTGGGGCCTTTTTATATATAGTGCCTTTTTATATACAACACAAATGGCTTATAATAGATTGAGCTGTAAGATACAATATTTAAAATTATCTGCAAAATTAATATGTTGATATAAATCTCAATTGAAAGCTTTAAGTACTAGCATAGAGCTTTATTCTGAGTCTTTTCTAGACCAGCAATCCTTAAACAGTTTGTCTCACATCCCCTTTAGGTTTAAAAACAATTGATGCCTCAAAGAGCTTTTATTTTAAATATCTAATACTTATCATATTAGAAACTAAAACTGAAAATTTTAAAAATATTCCTTTAGGAATTAACAATAAATCTGTTACATATTAGCATAAATTACTTGTTTTATAATAATAGCTATGGTTTTTACAAATCTTATAGAGATTTGTAAAAACCCATGGCTGGCTTCAAAGAAGACAACTGAAGCCTTTTATCTGCTTCTGCATTGAATCTGCTGCAATATATTGCTTTGGTTGGATACGGGAAGAAAATCCAACCTCCTACAGATAGGTAATTGAGAAAAGAGGAATATTTTAGTAGCCTTTTCAGATAATTGTGGATATTGTTTGTTGATACTACATTAAATTCCACAAGTGGTAGTTCCTTAAAGACTAGTTGCCACGTGGATCCTAAACCGTTATCAATGAACTTTTCTTACTCCGTTACTTTAATTTTCATTGTTCTGTCTTTAAATGAAGATCACTCATTGATCATTTGGAAAATAATTCTTCACTGAATTCTTCAGATCTTCCAAATGTTGACATTTCATTATACAGTATGAAAACATAACATTCGTTAATATTGTCACTGATCTTATAGAAGTCTTCATTTGGAAGCTTCCAGGTTCTCAGTGGTAGATACAAGTTTTCTAAAATTCTGATTTTTGTCTGAAATCTTGAGTTTTATCATTGGTAACAAATGCTATTGGTTTTTCTCCTTGAAGTGACAGGCTCACTTTGTTCAAAAAAAAATCAAATAAGCATAGCCTGGCAGTTACTCTTTGAGATAAAAGTGGTACTCCATAAAAAGGGAGCTAGCTTAGTTAACAACTAAAATTACCACATCAGTGCTTGTCCTTGAGACAACTTGCTTTGGTATGCAGCAACATCTTTATGTGTACTTGTTTCATTACTCAGAGTATTAAAAGGCTTGTTCTTAAGAGTCAAAATTTAATCAAATTAATACATTTTACTACTTCATCAGGACATTCTTAAATGAAACTGACTTTTTCCTTTTTAAACTGCGAGAGCATGGTGGTGACAAACACAATAATGGTGAGTGCTTTTCAATACCATACTCTTGATTCAAGCTTAGATGCCAGCATTTTTATCCATGATTGCTTTTGTATCATCCATGCAAAATGACAAAACAGTGAAAAGGGCAAATAATGTCTCAGCATTATTACAGAAGTAGTTTGACTTCCTGGACCCCCCTGAGAGTGTCTCAGAGCCCTCCAAGTATCCATGGACCACACTTTGAGAATCACTGTTTTAGGTGATGAAACCAACAATACTTATATCAATCTTGGAAATTCTTCACTAACACGTCTCTCTTCAAACTCCACATTCATCATAAAGGTTGTTATAATTGGAAAGCAGAACATAAAGTATATTTTGGTAAAGTTTGATTATAGAGGAAACAATAGCAACCCTACTTACCTTCGGAGAAGAAATCTTTACATATACTATAATAGGAGCCAAGGAGGTTTTACTGAGTTGAGCGGGATGATTAATCGTATCTGCATCAAGGACTACCAACTGCAGTGTTCTTGCAAGCTCAAAAATCCTTTCAATTTCACTCTGAACTTCCGCTGTAAAAGGTTAAGCAGAGTTCATTTACTTAATTTATTCTAAACTTAGACTGTACTTTAAGATAAAGTGCTACACCACTTCTTCAACTGGAAGGTAGGTAGGCCAGCCATTTTGTTAATGTTTACAAGCAATAGAACTTATAGGGCTGTTTTTCCATACACCTCTAGGATTTAAGAAATTGCCCTCTTAACTGGCTATAAAATTTACTTGTAGTATAATAAAAATCGGTGAGAGCCAAATATTGCTGTTCTTTCTGCTGACTCACATTTTATGCTATAAAACTTTCACTCTATGAAACTATTTTATAAAACTGCTGCAAAATAAGAACCTGAAGATCTATCTTTCGTGTGTTTATTTTTGGCCTCTTTACCATCGCAACCACATTACCAGCTTTCTTTTCAATGCATGGGCTTATCGCTGTTTACATAACACCTATTAGTATGCTGTCTAGATAAGTTTATTAGCAAGCTGAAATACAACATAAAACAGGAAAGATGTGAAGGGTGCCTATAACACACCTATCCAAAAACACACTTCTCATATTTTCCACTAGTAAAGGTATGAATGGTCCTGCAGCATTCATGTTTTAAAAGGGCAGTTATCAAAGGCAGTACTACAGAAATCTAAAGCGTGAAGTTTATAGAAAACTTATCACAAAACACTTAAACTTCTACTTGAACTCCAAGAAAGTTACATTCAGTTTGTATACGGCTCCACGATCTCCAAAGAATCTAAAACCACTGTCCAGTAGCATTTCATGCAATGATGAACATAGTCTCTATCTATGTGGCCCAGCATGGTAGCTACTAACTACATGTGGCTATTGAGCACTTGAAATGCAGCTAGTATGAATGAGCAACTAAATTTTAAAAGTGTAGTTTTAATAATTTAAATAACCAGAAGCTGCGACTAAGCAGCAGGGGTCTACAAAGTATAATATATAGTGGATATGTATGCACCGCAATCATGGAGGGTCCATTCTATGAGATTAGGTTAGACTGGCAAACTAGGACCTATAGATACCTTTTAATTTCTCTTATGCAGTCAGATTATGTCAGAAGATTCCTGGAGATGTTTCGTTTTGTTTTGAGACAGGGTCTTACTCTGTCTCCCAGGCTGGAGTGCAGTGACATGATTGCAGCTCACCGCAGTTCAGGCGATCCTTCTGTCTCAGCCTCCCCACTAGCTGGGACTATAGGCACATGCCACCACTTCTGGCTATTTTTTTTTTTAATGTTTTTTGTAAAGACGAGCTCTCACCGTGTGGCCGAGGCTGATTCTGAACTCCTGGACTCAAGTGATTCTCCCACCCTAGCCTCCCATAATGCTGGGCTTACAGGTGTGAGCCACTGTGCCCAGCCACTGGGAATAATTTTAACAATATATTATTCCAGCAAAGAAGTCACTGATCGTCTGCTTCACAACATGTTATGACTAGAGTCCTTTTATGTACCTGAATATCTTTAAGAAATCAGGGACCTAGTGTCCTGAGACACCTAGCTTTAAAATATCATTCTGTCACATACCACCTATGATACAGTCTTGCTAAAAGGAAAATAAAATCTGATCAACCTTCTGAATTTACCAGTTTATAAGAAATACAAGGAACACAAAAATCACATAAACTATACCCATGTAATGCAGTTAGCAAAATTCAGACTGACAACCCTACATAGTAAATGGCCCAGTTTTTTCAAGCAAAAAATTAGAAAAAAAAAGACATGGAAAATCTACAGATTAAGGTGAACCATATCTATGAACCATACTATATGGACTTTATTTGGATTCTGACTCAAGCAAATAGTAATATATTTATAAATGAATAAATATGATAAAATATGTATAGGATTTGCTTCCTTATAATTTGGGGGGTGGGGGAGCGGGGGAAAAGAGAGGACTATAAATGAAACAAGACTGACCATAAATAGATGCTTGTGGAAACTGGGTGATAAATACCTGGGGTTCCTTAAAATACTCTTTATTTTCATATATATTTGAATTTTCTTTAATATCACTTTAAAAGATGAAAATATTTTGATACTTCCTTTCATAATAGTGCTCTGAAATATTACTGATACTATTATTGACCTTAACTCTTTCTATGTTGATCTTTAACTTTATTCCAACTATCACTTGCCTTGCTGCTAATTTGTGCCCTATAAATCTTTCACATGGACATTGAACCCCAACAATCAAGTTAGTTCCAATCTTAAATTAAATTTTACTGCAAGCATTAAGAAATTTGACTGGCCGGGCGTGGTGGCTCAGACTGTAATCCCAGCACTTTGAGAGGCCGAGGTGAGAGGACTGCCTGAGCCTGGGATTCGAGACCAGCCTGGGCAACTTGGTGAGACATCATCTCTATGGTAAATCAAAAAATAAGCTGGGCATGGTAGCACTCGTCTGTAGTTCCGGCTACTTGGAAGGCTGAGGTGGAAGGATTGCCTGAGCCTCACAGATTGATGTTGCAGTGGCTGTGAGCATGCCACTGCACTCCAGTCTGGGCGACAGAGTGAGACTCCAACTCAAAAAAACACACAAAAAACCAAAAAAAAACCTTTTGAGATAACTGTAGATTCACAAGCAGTTGTAAGATATGATACAGACAGATCTCATATATCCTTCACCCAGTTTCCTCCAATGAGATCATCTCACAAAATTACAGCACAGTATCACAAACAGGATATTAACATTGATACAATTTGCTAACCTTTCTCAGATTTCCCCAGTTTTATTTGTGCTCATCCGTGTGCATGTGTATTTACATTATCATCATATGTGTAGGTTCATTTATCCAGCACCACAATCAGGATGTAGAGCAGCTGTATCACCACAAGGATTAAGTAACTCACTTAATGAATGATTTAAGTTGGCTTCTCTGGGTTAGAAATATTTACCAAGTTGTTGGCATTTTTATCTGATTGCCTATGTTGTGACTATGTTAAGTTAAAAGCCTTTAGTTACACTCACCATGCTCTTGTTGCAGTTGTTTCCATATTCACAACTAACATCTAGCTTCACTTCCTATATTCTGTTTATTTGCTTAATATTTTTCCACTTCCAGTACATAGTTTTTGCTATCATGCGGTACAGTTAAGTACCCACAACCACATATTTGTATACCAAAGTATATAAGGAGGTACCAAACTGATTTGTCTCTGGAAAGGTGCTTGTGATAAAACCAAACCATAGTTTGAAGCTGTTATAAAGTTGGGCAGTTTAAAGAAACTCTGAGATGAATTCTTTTATAATCTGTAATGTAATTGTCTAAATCTATAATTTTTAAAAATTTGGATTTGAAACTGGCAAATACCTGTATCACCTTACTCTCTGCTATTTGAATGTGAGTAATATTTATAAAAGTATAATGTTCTTTATTTGCATTCTCCCAGTTTGAAAAGTGGATATAATAGCTAATGTAAATATTTAAAATTATGATTCTTAACCAATACTACAACTGAGGAAAAATGCTAGGACTTTTATGAGCCTATAGGAAGTCATCCATATGTGCAAAGAAGTCTTTTTTTTTTTTTTTGAGTTGGAGTCTCACTCTGTTGCCCAGACTGGAGTGCAGTGGCCGCTCCCGGCCACCGCAGCCTCGACCTGCTGGGCTCCGGCGATCCTTCCGCCTCAGCCTTCCACGTAGCTGGAACTACAGGCGCGTGCTACCACACCCGGCTAGTTTTTTTGATTTATTGTACAGATGAGGTCTCACCAAGTTGCCCAGGCAGGTCTTGAATCCGCGGGCTCAGGAAGAGATTGATTTTAAATAGCCTAAGCCGCCGGGCTCGGTGGCTCAGCCTGTAATCCCGCGCCTTGGGGGGCTGAGGTGAGTGGATTGCCTGGGCCCGTGGGTTCGAGACCTGCCTGGGCAACTTGG